CATATCTTTTTGTGTTGTAGTATCCTAAGTCATCTTGACCCGGTAATGAATTTTTTTTAATCCATTACCGCTTGAAAACAGACATTTCTATATCTTCCCTGAATTGCTGATGTTACAGTAACTCTAGAAAATAAATGTAATTTTTTTTTTAATATATCTCACACTTATGCTGAGTTACGATCTGAACCCAATTTACAAGGGATTGTAGGGTCCAACTAGTGAAAAAGATCCATAAATTTCAAATATTATTGTTTTCTGAGGGAGGAAACACAATAATCTCATATATCTTGACGATCCCACAATTTTCTGACAAAATATCAACTAATTGCTGTCACATGACATCAGTTGGTCAGAGTACTACTACCCCTTATATGGCCAATAGGCAGAAGATAGGCACATGCTTGCAACCACATTTACAAAACTTATACTTAGCCAGACCATAAACATTCCATTCACGAAATACCATGCTAAGACTATTGCACAATGAGAATGAATATTGTCATATTAAGGCGACATAACCAGGATATTTATCTACTATATATATATATATATATATATATATATATATATGGGCAATAAGCCTAAGATTGATCATATTTCCATCAATAATTGATTTCCTTGAATAGCTATTGACTTGAGCATTAGAGTATCATACCAGTATCTCATCCCAGTTTACTCAAATTGCTCCAAATATCCCTTCTAGCCCATATATCTTGCATAACACCCGCCAGCCTGATATATCTTACTCAACCATATGTGATCTAAGCCAATAATCGTTAGACTGGTCAAGTTATTATTTGTCGACTGATCAGAATGCATAACTAATGAAATATTTATTTTCTACATAATTCACATGGAAGGCTGTTGCCCGTGGCAATAGAGCTGGAGAAGCAAGAAGCAAAGGTAAGTGCCCCAGAATATGTCTACCGTAGTTTGAGGAACAAGGAGGCCCAGATTAGAAATGACGGTGGCCCAATTCCGAATTTAAGTGATTTGGACAATTCAGTACCATAAGAATGGAGACTGGGATTTCAACCTAGGGAACAACAAAAGAAAAACTCTCTGTGCGTTAACATGAAACCTGATTGGATTCTCTGCAAAATAATAATAATAATAATAATAATAATAATGTATTATAGATAATATATAATTATTTTTTCTATACCCCTTATAATTATATATTACAAATAATATATAATTATAGTATTAAATTTTTTTTATACCCCTTATAACTATGTACTATTCATAATACATAATTATTTTTTGTTGCGGGAATTCCTGCAACACGATTCTTATATTTTACAAAGTTTAATATGATCTTGTTATGTTACATTTTTATGTATTTTTCTCTTTATATATATATATATATATATATATATACTTCATTTATAGTTTATAAACATTAATAAAAAAAATAGACACAATTGTCCAAATACGAACACTTGTCCAAATGGACAGCTCAAATTTATTTAATTACATTTAAGATTATTTTTAATTATAAATAAAAATATTTTTAATTGTCAAGATCTTGTACATTATAAAAAAATAAAATAAACGATCTTGATCTTTAATTAATATTACACTGACATTTTTTTTTTGAATGATAAAATTGGGTATAATGTTAGATATTTCATCATTTTATAAAAATTTGCCTTTTAAATGTGATGATTGAAATCAGCACTATCATTTTATTAATATTAAACTAGAAACAACAGAAAACGGAAATAATAGATCCACATTTAAACAAGTAATTTTTAATTACTTTTTTTTTTTCAAATTACGGTTGTAATTCGTGTAAAATATATTCGTAATTCTATAAAACTGATTATTTGACTTGTCACATTATTTAAGTATAATTTACTTTAAAAAATTAAAAATATGTGAACATTAGGTTCGTAGACTTTATTGTATTTGGCAACCTGTGAGAGTGTGAGGTGAAATTAGGAGATAATTAGAAAGTTTAGTGCAGTTCATTAGTGCGAAAAACTTGCCTCCGCGCATTGAGCATATGCGGAATGGCCATCATGTGAAGCAGATCCCCTCCAAGCTCCAATGGTCATGCCATGTGATACCAATCAACAAGCATCTGACTCCGGCACGTTCTGCTCGTGGACCACAACATCAATTGAGTTACTGAAGCAAGAGGAAGGGAAAATATCATTAGCAAAAATATATATAAATATTCGGAACTGGTCAACCAGTTCAATCAATAAATTCTTAATTTGAGTCCTTGTACAGTTGTACCGATTTTTTTTTTTCTTCCTAATTTGAGTATGAACTCTAAGTACACAAAAAAAAGTACGTGAATGGTTGTATTCATGAACTAAATTGAACTTTTCTATCATTAAACTTTAATTAATTTTCCACAATTATTTAAACAAAAAAATTAATACTTTTTAATTGATTTCCTTGTAGTTAGTATTATTGAATAATTAAGCTATTTAATTAAAAAAAAATTGTATTTATACAAATATTTACTAATTGAATGTATTTGTGTTTATTAAATTTAAAATCAATTGAAAATAACTAATCTTTGACTTAAGGACTTCAGAATTTCCCTCAGAAGATGTAATAGTCTTTGAAGACTTTGGAAATATAAACAATATTTTTAAATTTATACCGTATCCCACTGTTGTCTGTGTTTTATATTATCTATGCATATAAATTTTGAGTTTTTCTTTTCTCGTTATATATATGAGGTAGTATCTCTCATGTCATAAACACAATAAGTGATGAGATCTATCATTTGTTAAAAAAAAAAAATACAAATTTTGATATCTCACGGTAAAAAAAAACTGAGAAAATAATTTTCGATGAAGTTTCTTTAACTTTGTACTAAAAAAGAAAAGTTTTCCTAACTAAAGAGTGGGTCCCCCTTCGACATGTGACGCGCTGTCCGTAAACAATGGGCTCTCTATTAACGTGCAGACATCACAAACGGCAATCCCGTAGAGTAGCCAAACAGATCACCGGAAACTGTTTCTCTCTCGTTTCTCGGACTGGCCCACACGGCCACACCCACTAGATATTTTCACTGCACAACTCACAACAGGTCAATAATATATAGGAAATTGACCGACACGGTATTTTAAAAAATTTACGGTTTGGATTTTTTTTTTTCTTTTCGTGGTAAACTTGCTCTAGGTGGCGGCTGAGTTTGATACGACTTCTGGCTAACAAATTTGCTGAGTTGTAGTGAAACGAGTCAGAACGCTCAGTTGTGCTAGGGACACATTGCAGCTAGTCATGAACTCATAGTTAGTGACAATGAGTTTCTAGACTCACACGATTATAATATGTTGGACAAAATTTTAAAAATTTCACTATACAATTTTAGAAAATCATAATTTTTGATTGATTTGGGTGTCCGAATCATGTGATTTTTGTGTTTTGATTTCATACAACTTTTCAAAAATTACGCTTCGCAATTTTTTTTTCAAAAAAATACTTCTTTATATTCCATTTGACATATTTTATTATTTAATTTATATTCTTATTTTACTTTTCAACATTAACAAATAATCTTTTGGAAATTTTGCCAATGCATAAATTTAAAAAATTATGTGAAATAAATTCTTTTATCCGATTAGAACACCCAAGACAAAAGTGGAGGCGACCTCAGTTGAAATTAATGCCTCACCTGCCAGGCCACGTGGCTTGCATGCAGCAGAGATCGCCTGTGTCAGAAGCAAACTCTGACACCACCAGGAAGCTGACAGGTCAGCATACTAAGTTCGCTACTGCTCTGGACGAACTTGTCCTCGTGGCAGTTTGGTAAAATTGTTTTTTAGCGTGACATTTAGGTAAAATAACCTTGAAACAGTGGCACAATGGTCACTGTTCCGACAAAAGTTGAGTTCTGAAAATAAGTTAATTGATTTGGCCACTCACTATCACTGAAATTTCTTTGGTGTTGCCATATGACAGTTAAAACCCGATGCTAGGCACAACGGGATTGTCAGAGTGACATTTTAGCAAAAAAATTTCCTCTTAATAACTATTAATATCATATCTCAACTACTCACCTAAGAATCTACTAAGAGATAGATACATGAGTATCACAACATTCTTAAGGAGTCAAAGCACTGAAGATAAGGATCTCATCCCAACAGAAAGGGAGCTGAATCCTAATGCAACCAACCTGGGAGATCTCAAAAGGCTCAGACCTAGTAAGGTAATCCTTATAAATAAGAGCCTAAGGACTCCAGGTACACTCTTTTAACCTATTTATGAATACTGCCCACACTGTGCATAGACTCACCCCTCAGTTATAAGCCTATTGTTTGTGCGTAGTGATTGAGACATCGGCTATAAGCCCAGTATACACATGATTATACAATATCTCTGAGCACATACCTTACGGTATAGCAATACGGTCTATCAGGACCGAACAATAACATTATTTAATTCTTACTTTTATTTTTATTTTTAATATTAACAAATAATCTTTTATAAATTTTCCAATGAATATATGTCAAAAAAGAAAAAAAGTATACTTACAACCTATATTCGTTTATAATCTCTTACCATTATATTTTAACCGTTGATTTCTACCCATAAACGATTATCATTTATTGCGAATTAATAATTAATTAATGAGTTTGATTTACGAAAATAATAACCGTTGATTGACAAAAATTAACGATTAAGATATGATTATAAGAGATTATAAATAAAAATAGGTTATAAGTATAATATTTAAAAAAAAAAAAAAACGTAAAATAAAAAAAATTATCCGATCAAAAGACCTAAATAAAAAATTATGTCCTAATAAAAATAAATTGGCTAATCTGACCATATACACGCTGCCACTTAAATTTCTCTGGTTCTGCTCGTTGAAACCTGCTGCCACGCACAATGGCATTTTGTCCAAAAAATTTCCACGTGATATTCTGTAAATTTTTTTTTTTTAAAGTAGCAGTACGGCCAATGTTCCACAATATAACACGCCACTTTTTTTAAGTTTTTTGTTTTGTTTTTTTTCCATTGTTTTACTTTACCTCGCTAACTGTTTGTGTCATAGCGAAGCGTGCATTTCGTGGGTTAGTGAAGGTGACGATTGCGATGATTGTTGATGCTACTTCAAGCCAAGAGAAGATTTCTCAACTTTGAAGCTTTTGTGTCTTGGAAGGATCTTACTGTGTCTTTTCTATTCTTCTGCTTTTACACCAAGGGAATAAGCATACTTCAATCTTACCGTTGAAATCGTTTCCAAAAATTACTTAACGCTCTTTATTTTGCTGTTGAGTTGTGAGGTTGAGTGAGCTAAGTTAAAGCAAGAGAAAGAGAATAGATGGAGAGTTATCTGAATGAGAACTTTGGGGATGTGAAGGCGAAGAACTCATCGGAAGAAGCGCTTCAGAGATGGAGGAAGCTCTGTTGGCTTGTTAAGAACCGTAAAAGGAGGTTTCGCTTCACTGCTAATCTCTCCAAGCGATTTGAAGCTGAAGCTATCAGACGCTCCAATCAGGTTTCTTCTTTTTTATACCTTTCCCTCACTTCCCTCCTCTTTTTTCTTGCCAGATCAAGACAAAGCTCAAAGAAATAAAAATAAAAATAAAAATACACTAATGAATAGTTCACATCTCCATTTAAATGAAAGGAAGATCTGGTTTGAGTTTGAGCCAATCATTTTTTGGTTAATGGAATGTCAGTGATTAAATAATTCCTTATTAAGTTATCTTGATGCTAATTCAACACCAATGGATAGAGTAGTGGTTGCTGTGATCCAGAAATTGAAAATCAATGCTTATGATCGTTCTGGTTGCGTGGTTCTCCTTTCAGAGTGGCAGATATTATCCTCTTCTTCAAGCACTTATAAAACTGACTGTGCTATGCTGTTGTGCTTGGTTGGGATGGAATGATGCCTCTTAACTTGAATATCGGCAACATGATTTGTCTGAAAAAGAGGGAAATAGAATGAAAGGAATGAATATTGGCTATGGATCTAGACACCATTCTTACATTGGTCCATTACCAATGTTCACTCCTTTCCTTTTCTATCAGAAATCAAGAATCATGGAGATGGGAACAGAGAAAACAGGGAAGCTCATCATGTAAATACAAAGAATGATCTATTGAATGAATGAATAATTATCTGTATGTGTACATCGCTTATATACAACAGATAATAGTTAGTTCAGAGTTAGTTCAGAGTTAGTTCAACTATCTAACTATCTAACTGAATCAGAAGAGGTGACGTGACACTTTCCCTTAGCTGTGTCACTTGCTTGTTGCTCCACATCATGACCTTTTCTTTCTGTGCTGTCAACGCTCCTTTTCTCCACGTTATCAGCAGCAGTATTAGTATCCAATACCCCCCCCACAAGCTGGACGCAGCACATCACGAAGACCAAGCTTGCTAACAATAAGGTGAAACGGTTGGGAAGGAAGAGGCTTAGTGAAGATGTCGGCCAACTGAGATGAAGAACGAACAGGAAGCAAATGGAGAATGCCATCATTGATTCTTTCACGTGTGATGTGACAATCGATCTCGATGTGTTTGGATCTCTCATGGAAAGCTGGATTCTTTGCAAGGTAGATGGATGAGACATTGTCACAAAACACAGAGGCTGGTTTGGAGCAAGTTACACGAAGATCAGTGAGCAAATAAGTCAACCATTGGATTTCACATGACATAGAAGCCAAAGCACGATACTCTGCTTCAGTGGAAGAACGGGAGACAGTTGTTTGTTTCTTCGAACGCCATGACACAAGTGAATTGCCCAGAAACACACAAAGACCGGTGACTGATCTTCTTGTATCTGGACAGCAAGCCCAGTCACTGTCAGTAAAACCTGAGAGCTGCAATGTATTGTTTGAAGAGAAGAACAGACCTTGGGCTGGAGAAGCCTTGAGGTACCGAAGTATACGATGTGCAGCATTCATGTGGGATGATGTAGGGGCAGATACGAACTGACTGAGTTGATGAACCGCAAAGGAAAGATCAGGCCTTGTGGTTGTTAGGTATAAGAGTCTCCCAACTAAACGTCTATAAGGCTGAGCATCATGTAAAATCTCAGAAGAATCTTTAGCTCGACATAGTCTATTAGAAGAGTCCATAGGAGTGGAACTCGGTTTACAGCTTAACATCCCACTATCAGATAGAATTTCTAAGGCATATTTTCGTTGATTAATAATTATACCTTCTGTTGAGCGTGCAACTTCTAAGCCAAGGAAGAACCGAAGATTACCCAGGTCCTTGATTCTGAAATTGGAGTCCAGAAAAGCCTTGACCCTATTTATTTCATTCAAGTCATCACCAGAAAGAACTATGTCATCTACGTAAACTAGCAAAGCCGCGAAGGATGAAGATGTGTGCTTAACAAAAAGGGAATGATCTGCAACAGATTGGTGATAACCAATGGAGAGTAAAGCAGAAGAAAGCTTCGAGTACCATTGACGGCTTGCTTGCTTGAGCCCATAGAGGGATTTTTGGAGTTTGCAGACTTTGGGTGGCTTATGTTGGGGAAATCCCTCTGGCAGAGCCATATAGACCTCTTCATTGAGGTCTCCATGCAGGAATGCATTATTTACATCGACTTGAAGGAGATGCCATCCACGAGAAGCAGCTATACTGATAAGAGTTCTCACGGTTGTCATTTTAGCAACTGGAGAAAATGTGTCAAGATAGTCAACCCCTTCCATTTGTGTATATCCCTTGGCAACTAACCTTGCCTTATACCTTTCGATCATCCCATCAGCCTTAAGTTTGATTTTATACACCCATTTGCACCCAATAATGTGTTTGTCAGAGGGACGATCAACTAGGATCCAGGTGTTGTTTTGCTCCAAGGCAGACAGTTCAGCCTTCATAGCTTCATTCCAGCGATCATATTGTGAAGCTTATTGATAAGTTTGAGGTTCTGTGAGACATATGGAATTGCAACAAAATCGGGTAAAGCCAGGAGAGCAATTGGAGTAGGATAAAACACTGGATAAAGGGAAGTGTGTGTTTTTGCTTGGTATAGGAGTGGATGCTCGAGAAGAAAAATAACAATGGCAATCCTTAAGATAGGTTGGTTGGTTTCTGACACGTTCGGATTGTCTGGTGGGAACTGTATGGTTAGGTTCAAGTGTATGTTGGATAGAGGTAGGATCAGGTTCTATAAAGGTAGGATCAGGTTGATTGAGATTCTGGGTAATGGCAGGATTTATAGGTTCAGTGTTTATGAGTTGATGACTATTTTGTGTGGTATACTGGTTAAGGGCAGTAGGTGAGTCATGTGTACATTGGTTAAAAGGATGGTCAATGTGTTGCCTAATGGTTTGAGGAATGTCATATATGGGGAAAACTGTATTATGCAGACCAAGATCAGATGCAGCAGCTTTGTCTTTAAAAGGAAAATGAGTCTCATAGAATACAGTGTGACGAGATACAAAGATCTCATGTGAAGCAACATCATAAAGAACATACCCCTTTATGCCTTCTTGATAGCCAATGAAAATGGCCTTTCTTGCTCTGGATGAGAACTTTCCTCGATGATTAGACAATGTAGTAGCAAAACACAGGCACCCAAATACCCGTAGGTGAGTAAGATTTGGTGACTTGTTGTACAACAATGAGTATGGAGACTTATGACCAAGTAGAGGTGTAGACAGACGATTTATCAAGTGGGCTGCATGTATAATGGCAAAGTTCCAGAACTTTGATGGTAATTGTGATTGAAAAACTAAGGCTCGAGCAACATTCAACAAGTGTTGATGCTTACGCTCCACTCTCCCATTTTGTTGAGGAGTTTCAACACAACTCCTCTGATGAATAATGCCTTTCAATTGATAAAATTCGTCCATAAGGAATTCAACTCCATTGTCACTGCGCAGTACCTTTAACTTGGTCTCAAATTGGGTTTCTACATATGCAATGAAATTTTGCAAACGTGGGCGTACTTCTCCTTTATTTTTCATTAAAATTACCCATACAAAGCGACTAAAGTCATCCACAACAGTAAGAAAAATTCTGTGTCCATTAATAGAAGGGATAGCATATGGTCCCCATATATATACATGGATCATATCAAAGACTTTATTGCTTTGGAAACTACTGCTAGAAAAGGGTAACTTGCGCTGCCTTGAGTAATGACATATGTCACAAGGCCTTACATCTTCACAAGAAATGAAAGAAAAATCTTTAGACATCTGTTTACAAGTATCATATGACAAGTGGCCTAAACGAAAATGCCAAAGTCTGGCATCACTTAACTTCTTAGTTACATGAACAGAAGCTTTATTGAAAGAAACAGTGTTCTTGAAAGAATCAATACTCTTCGTACTGTCTTGTAAGCATTCCAAGATATAGAGTCCCCCCCTCTTATCAGCTATACCAATCATCTTCTTGGTATTGGCTTGCTGTATAAAGCATGAAGACTCATAGAAAGTCAGATAACAAGGAACAGATGCTACAATCCTTGAGACAGATATTAGATTGACCTTAAATTCAGGAACATAAAGAACATCTAGTAGCTGCAATGAACTAGATAAAAATATGGTTCCTGATATATTAGTCATTACATGAACTACATTGGGCAACATAATGGATATTGGTGATATCTTTTGAACTGAATTGAAAAGATGTAACTTTGAACAGATGTGATCCGTGGCTCCTGTATCAATGATCCATCGGATTTTACCTGAAGGGTTATCAGCAGGCAGAGAACTTGCATTTGAGGCCAAAGAGGTGACTAAATTGGCAGAGTGAGCATTCTGTTCTTGTGAATTGGGTTCTTGTAGTAAGTTCAGCAACTTTTGATATTGATCATGAGATAAAGACACTCCTATCTTTGACTCATCATTAAAGGCAGTAGTAAAACTTCCTCCATCAGAATGTGCAGAAGCAAAGTTTCCTTCATCAGAATCTTGCTGGACAAAATTGGCTGCACTATATTGCCTTCCACCATTGTCAGCATTGCGTGATCTTCCAGCATTCTTGTAACCAGGTGGAAACCCATGGAGTTGATAACAGGTTTCAATTGTGTGGTGAGGTTTACCACAGTGAGTACACATCTTGGTTCCACGCCCTTGGCTTCCCAAATTCGGTCGTGGCTTTCCTTTATTATCTGTAAAGATTCTTTTACCATAATTCGTGCTATTAGTAAGAACACGAGATAGAGAAGACTCACCTTGCAATGTTGTTTCGAATTGCCTTTCTTGTTGAACCACCAAAGAAAAGGCTCGACTAACTTGAGGGAGTGGATCAATCATCATCAGCTGAGATCTGACATGAGCAAATTGCTCATTCAATCCCTTCAAGAAACGCACTGTTTGATCTTGATCTTTATGAGTTCGTACTAACTCAATGAGACCACAATTACAAGAAATAGCACATCGACATATAGGTAAGGGACGGAGATTATCAAGCTCATCCCAAAGAGTCTTCAACTCAGTGAAGTAATCTGTCACATTCATCTCTCCTTGATGGAGCTTATACAAATCTTCTTGAATCTCAGAAAGTCTGAAGATGTCAGATTGGCTAAAACGATTTTTCAGATCTGTCCACACATCTGAAGCACGATTTATCCATAGGATTGACTTCTCAATTGAACTGCTTATTGATCTATGGATCCAAGCAAGAACAATAGTGTTGCATCTTTGCCAAGCAACATAAAGAGGATCTTCAATGGTGAGCGGAGCAATGGTTCCATCAACAAATCCAAGCTTATTCTTGGATAACAGTGCCATGCTCATAGCCCTTGCCCAAGTATGATAATTCTTTCCACTCAAAGGTGGATTCACAAGAACGAGAGAGGGATTCTCGTTTGGATGCAAGAAAAACGGGTGACCTGGATTGGTCAAGTAATCAGGAACAGGATCTGCCATTGCAGATAAAGAAAAGAGAAAAAGATCGAAGAATTCTGCAGCGGAAAAATGGCGGATACCAGAGCTATAAGCTCTGATACCATATCAGAAATCAAGAATCATGGAGATGGGAACAGAGAAAACAGGGAAGCTCATCATGTAAATACAAAGAATGATCTATTGAATGAATGAATAATTATCTGTATGTGTACATCGCTTATATACAACAGATAATAGTTAGTTCAGAGTTAGTTCAACTATCTAACTATCTAACTGAATCAGAAGAGGTGACGTGGCACTTTCCCTTAGCTGTGTCACTTGCTTGTTGCTCCACATCATGACCTTTTCTTTCTGTGCTGTCAACGCTCCTTTTCTCCACGTTATCAGCAGCAGTATTTGTATCCAATATTTTCTTTCCTTCGAATTTTTGAAGACTAACCTGTCTAGCATTTTTATTGGCTTTAAAGGTTCTGTTACGATTAATGGACAAAAGTAGAATTGACTTTTATTATTGTAGCGAAATAATCACAGTAATGAACAGTGTTATAGAGTGTAATCTTTAGTTAAAGAACAGCCTGCCCTTCATGCCTGGCTGGTTCTTATATCATATCTGATAAATTACCAAATTGTCTTAAACTTGCATAGCAAGTTATTCTTTACATATCCCAGCAATCCTGCTTAAGTTTGAGCTGAACATTTCAAATTCCGAGAAATCGATTTTCTAAATTTGAATTAAAAAATTGAGTCATGGAAGGATTGGAATATGTGTCCTCTCACTATCCTGGCACCTAGCAAGATTCCTATAATAGCTTAACTTCGTGTGGAGAAAAGGGATTTTCATCATTTAAAATTTTAAAAATAATTTTACAATCTCTTAATTACCCTGCCCCCGCTATATATTGTAGGAGAAATTCAGAGTAGCAGTGTTGGTTTCACAAGCTGCACTTCAGTTTATCAATGGTAAGAAAATCAACCTACATGCATTTTAAAATTGTTGTAAAGGTTTCGCTTTTCAATAATAAGCAAGTCTTTGCTTCCTCCAGGTCTAAAGTTGTCTAGTGAGTACATTGTACCGGAGGAAGTTAAAGCTGCAGGTTTTGAAATTTGTGCTGATGAGTTGGGGTCAATTGTTGATGGACGTGATGTGAAGAAGTTGAAAATTCATGATGGGGTTGAGGGTATCGCAAACAAAGTCAGTACCTCAGTCAATGATGGGATATCAACATCTGAGCACTTGCTGAATCTGAGAAAAGAAATTTATGGAATTAATAAATTCAATGAAAGCCCAATCCGGGGATTTTGGGTTTTTGTATGGGAAGCCCTTCAAGATACAACCCTCATGATACTTGCTTTATGTGCCTTGATCTCTTTGGTGGTTGGTATAATAATGGAAGGGTGGCCCAAGGGTGCACAGGATGGAATTGGTATTGTTGCAAGCATATTGCTTGTAGTGTTCGTCACTGCCACTAGTGATTACAGACAATCGTTGCAGTTTAAGGATCTAGATAGAGAGAAGAAAAAAATTACAGTTCAGGTCACACGAAATGGCTGTAGACAGAAGATATCAATATATGATCTACTTCCTGGTGATGTTGTCCATCTTAATATTGGAGATCAGGTTCCTGCTGATGGGCTTTTTGTGTCCGGTTTCTCTGTGTTGATAAATGAATCAAGTTTGACAGGAGAAAGTGAACCAGTGAATGTCAGTGACCGTAATCGCTTTCTTCTCTCTGGAACCAAAGTCCAGGATGGATCATGTAAGATGCTTGTGACTGCTGTTGGAATGAGGACCCAATGGGGTAAACTAATGGCTACTTTGAGTGAAGGGGGAGATGATGAGACTCCCTTGCAGGTAAAACTCAATGGTGTGGCTACCATTATTGGGAAAATAGGCCTCTTTTTCGCTGTTGTGACTTTTTCTGTGTTGGTCCAAGGGCTATTTAGCCGCAAGCTGCGAGAAGGATCCCAATGGACGTGGTCTGGTGATGATGCTATGGAAATGGTGGAATTCTTTGCTATTGCTGTTACTATTGTTGTTGTTGCTGTTCCTGAAGGTTTACCTTTAGCTGTAACATTGAGCCTTGCTTTTGCCATGAAAAAGATGATGAATGATAAGGCACTTGTCCGTAATTTGGCTGCTTGTGAGACAATGGGATCTGCCACTACTATCTGCAGTGACAAGACCGGCACACTAACTACTAACCATATGACTGTTGTAAAAGCTTGCGTATGTGGGAAGATTAAAGAAGTGAATAGCTCTAAGGTCTCTTCTGATTTCTCATCTGATCTTCCTGATTCTGCTCTGGCAATTCTACTTGAATCAATATTTAACAACACTGGAGGAGAAGTTGTAAAAAACAAAGATGAGAAGATTGAGATTCTGGGATCACCAACTGAGACTGCACTCTTGGAATTTGGGCTGTCACTGGGTGGTGATTTCCTTAAGGAACGACAAGTGTTAAAACTTGTGAAAGTTGAACCATTTAATTCTGTAAAGAAGCGCATGGGTGTGGTTCTACAGCTTCCTAATGGTAGTTTCAGAGCACACTGCAAAGGTGCCTCTGAAATAGTTCTAGCTGCATGTGACAAAGTTGTGGACTCAAATGGTGAGATTGTTCCCCTTGATGAAGACTCCATCAATCACTTGAAGGATACAATTGCAAAATTTGCTGGTGAAGCTCTCCGAACCCTTTGCCTTGCTTACATGGACATTTGTGATGAATTTTTAGTTGAAGGACCTATTCCTATCAGGGGTTACACATGCATAGGAATTGTGGGTATTAAAGATCCAGTTCGCCCTGGTGTTCGAGAGTCTGTCGCCATTTGTAGGTCAGCTGGTATTACTGTTAGGATGGTTACCGGAGACAACATAGACACTGCAAAGGCTATTGCTAGAGAATGTGGAATTCTAACGGATGGTATAGCAATTGAAGGCCCTGAATTCCGTGAGAAGAGTGAGGAGGAATTGCTTGATATCATTCCAAAAATTCAGGTACATAGCAATAATCATGTCATTAAATCAATTTTCTGTGTTCTTAGCAATGTGTTTGACAGAGTTTGAGTTTCAGCGTTCTTTTTTTTTATTATTATTGTTTAATTGGAGGGGTGGGGATACATGGATGCACTTTCTGTCCTGGACTTGAAAAGCCTAGTTAGAGGTTCCTATAAATATGGCAATATCTTCCAGGTTTACCAGAATGATTCATGAAAACTCTCATTTGAATTTTTTTCCTTTTGCAGCCTATGCAAAATTAGTGTTCCGCATATTCTTCCTTCATATATACTGCAAACCACATTAAATTAATTCGAAACTACTATCTATTTTGCTAGTGATCAACATGTGCTATGTCTATCTCTGCAGGTAATGGCTCGATCTTCACCCATGGATAAGCATGCCCTGGTGAAATACTTAAGGACAACATTTGAAGAGGTTGTTTCAGTTACTGGTGATGGTACAAATGATGCTCCAGCACTTCATGAAGCAGATATTGGGCTTGCAATGGGCATTGCTGGAACTGAGGTATGCCAAGACAACTCTGTTTTGATCTTACCTCAGTGAAGCTCTTCTTTTCTAGAAATTTGGAAACCATGAATAATTTTTTGTTTTGAGATATTATATTCAGTCCTAATTTCCATGGGGAATTATATATCTGGATTTAATGGTAATGTTTCACTGTTTATTTCCAAATGCGGCATGAATCTATTAAAATCAAATCTTGTTTGAGTTCTCTGATATGTATTAATGAAGGTGAAGTGCGTACGATATATAAAATGGAATTTGACGCTCAGTAATTTAGTCTATAAAACAAGTGGAGAAGTCTTCCGTCAAAGGGATGCTTCGCACTGCATTTATAATACTCATTATCTGAATTGCCGACCTTTATCATTGGTGGCTAGCGGAAGGTCTTGGTCCTTGGAATTATTGTAATGCTAAATTTGTACTTGTTGATAAATTTTGTAAAGCTGTTTTTTTGCCAATTTCAGGTAGCAAAAGAAAGTGCCGATGTAATAATACTAGATGATAACTTTTCCACTATTGTGACAGTGGCCAAATGGGGCCGTTCAGTCTACATAAACATACAGAAATTTGTGCAGTTCCAGCTAACTGTAAATATTGTTGCTTTGATCGTCAATTTCTCTTCTGCCTGTTTGACCGGTAATCACGATACTTTCCTTCTTGTTATCTTTCCTTAGTTTGTGTCTCGTTCTATTTTTTTTTCCTTCTCATGACAAGTACAAATTCCTAGGAAATGCTCCACTTACTGCGGTTCAACTTCTATGGGTCAACATGATTATGGACACTCTTGGAGCACTTGCGCTAGCCACCGAACCTCCTAATGACGACTTGATGAAAAAACCACCTGTTGGTAGGAAAGGAAACTTCATCAGTAATGTGATGTGGAGGAATATCTTGGGGCAGTCTATGTATCAATTTGTCGTAATCTGGTTCCTCCAGAGAAGAGGGAAAGTAGCTTTTCATCTTGATGGCCCAGATTCTGATCTGACGTTGAATACACTCATTTTCAACTCATTTGTGTTCTGTCAGGTAAAGTTAAACCATCACCGCATTGGACTTAGTTCAGTGTCGCTCTTTCTTGAGCACTAATATAGTCCTGAAATTGAAACGACAGAAGTTACATTCATATTCAAATTCTGAGCTGGTTTTGGAGATTTGTTTTTTGTTGAAGTTGCTGACTTCTTATGCTTCATCCATTTCTTTTTCTTATTAAACTCATAACTTAAGCAAAATATAAATTCTGTGCCATCTGCATTAGTTGCTTGTTCTGTGGGTATGATTTCATGTTCAGATTAGACAAGTTTGTTTTGCTTCTTTCCTGCCTTCGTAGTTTGTACATAATAGAAGTTGGTTTTTCTCTTCCTCAATAATAAAATATTCACAATAACTGAGTGCATGAATATTGAAATTTACTGTATAAAATGTTATGACTTTGATTCCTTCTAATGTGTTTTCTGACTGTGCCCTTTACTAAGTTCGCTGTTATTCAAATGTCTTGTTAGGTTTTCAATGAGATCAGTTCTAGAGATATGGAGAGGATAAATGTTTTTGAAGGTATACTGAAGAATTATGTGTTTGTAGCTGTCCTCACTTGCACTATCATCTTCCAAATCGTAATTGTCGAATTCTTGGGCACCTATGCAAACACATCTCCGCTTAGTTTGAAGCAGTGGTTTAGTAGCATTCTCCTCGGAGTCCTTGGCATGCCAATTGCAGCAGCTTTAAAGATGATCCCCGTGTGATCTGTCCAAAACCATTTCTAAGATAAATTAGGTACATTCTAGCTCAACTTTTGTTCTGACACGTAAATCAAGGGTCTTGTTTGCTCCTTACCTCTTTAAAAAAAGCCAATTAAATGAAGAGTTTTCTTAGCGTGAAGTTCCATAGGCTAACAAATTAGAGGCTAGATTTGGTACTTGATTCTGGTGTCAGAGGATAACATCTGTACATTTTGCATGATTGTCAGTGAAATTTCAAAGTTGTGATTTATATTGTATAACTAAAACATTACATATAATGAGGCTAGTCTGCAAGAGGGTTTTAATTTCTCTAAAATTTGAATGATTTATTATTATTATTATTGTTTGTGAATTATGATGATGTCGACCTACAGTTTCTCTCTATTTATTCTGTAAGAAGTGACAGATGAGTTGTTTACAAAATGCTTCTTGCGCGTGTTCTTTATGCATGCTAATTGGATCATGGGTTGCTTCTTGAGTTTGAATTGCTGATGGGGCCATCAGACTTTTTTTGGCTGGACCGAGGAAATAGTGTTAGGGCTAAGTTTTTATTGTGGCTGTCAATATATCAAATGCAGGAGATATGTCAGCTAGGTCGGATTCTACTGGAATTAAGATTGGAGTTCAAAGCTTTTGATGATCCCAGTTAGGATTTTCTGCTCTGTTTGAACTCGTTGTGGATGACTGTGTATCAAAAATTCAAACGAAAAAGAGAATTTATGTAATAGCCTTATCCTCTAAGCTAGCAGTAATGGTGAAAGCAACTTGGTATTTTTAGGCATTTTAGACTCAGTTATATTGTATCTACTAGTATGTAATTACTAGAGTTACTGATGAGCAATTGAACTGGGGAAGTTCTTGATGTTTGAGATCTTGGGGAGGCATCTTCCATGGTGGAAAATGTGCTTGGATATTTTGCCTATCAACTGCAGGTAGGGTAGCTTCAATTATGAATATACGTGATACTGCTAGGTCTCTGTCATACTGAGGAGGAAACCGATCATCATTTATCCTTAAATGTCTCAACTCTCAAGTCTCAACAATATTTTGGTTTAGCTGTGAATGGAGTATCCATCTTGAAGTTTTTGAAGATATTTCCACTTGTCTGTGGTTCATCTTTCTATTATTAGAAACAGAATGTCTACTGTCCACTGGGCATAGATCAAGAAAGACTGCTTTTAACTTTTGCATGTGGCTATGGAATGTATCTGGTGGGAAAAGAATTACGTTTACTCTTTACATGCACATATTCCCATCATTTACTGGAGTTTAGGTGAAGCCCTGTCAATTAAACGTAGTTTGCTTTCTCATTGTGATCACAAATTAGCCAGGAATATTCGTTTATACCTTTTATTGGTGGAGACCAAAATTGCAGTGTCCTTTATGCAGAAGTAGAAAGTGCTTCAATTTAATCCCAAATATCAGAGGCTGTAGAAGCAAACTAAGGCTTTTCAGGTACTCATGGATGGAAAGGTTGATTGGTCACTCTGATAGTTGCGGATGCCATAGTGTCTCTTGTCATGGACATACTTATTTTATAGAATAGATAACTAATTACATTTGCTAGACTTCTACACAATCCACACTATTCTGTCAAATGGGCAACTCCTGCTAATGTATCTTGTTTAATCGATTTTGCTTCGGTACCCTCTCATAATTTTCATTGCTGAGGCCGTTGAAACAAAAGTAGGGGGATGGAGTTCCAAGAGAGACTAGCACACCACATTACAAGGCCTACCTTTCTTTTTCCTAACTTTCACTTCATTACCTTGTTCCAAACCTAGTGTAAATGACTATCTATTGCAATTACCTAATAAACTTTGATGGATACTTTACGAAGAGTGAATTAAGAATGAAATCTACAATACAAATATATTTTCAAGAAAAAAAAAAGCAACAGACCAGCTTCTTCCTTTTGTTGACCACATATTTTGTCTTCTGCGCTGAATGATAGACACTAGTAAATTCTTTTTTCTTTTTAGAAAAAGGCAGCTCCATATTGGTTTTTGTTGTGTTCACAGTGAATTTCATGCGAGTTAGAAACTTACAAACTTAGGGCTTGTTTGACGTCAGTTTTTAAAAACAGTTGTTTCTTTTTCAGAACAAAAAAAAAAAATTGTTTGGTAAAACTTGTTTTGTAAAAGAAAATTTAAAAATTGTAATTGTTTTTATTTTATTTTTAGAATCTAGTTTAAAAAACATGCCTGGATTGTTTTTTTCTTTTTTTTTGGTTTGGTTTTTAATTTTCAAAAAAAATATATAAAAAATAATTATTTTTATAATTATTATACAAAACAGTTTTAAGAATAAAAAAATCATAATATAATCAAATAAAGCCCTAACAACTTTCTCAAAAAAAAAAAAAAAAAAAAAAACTAGAAACTTGGAGTACATGCATACGCAAAAAAATTTCGTTCGTACGCATTGAGAGCATCTGTGTCATCTCAAATCAAGCCCAGTCGAGTTAGCAAAGCAGGGTGACGATGAATAGAGTACTTTGTTGTTCGGCTCCTCTGTATCCAAGATGCTTCTCCAGCAGGTTGTTCAGTAGTAGAAGTATCACTCTGACCGCTGACCACAATCATCTCTCGCGTCACGGACTTCAAGTTGACACTTCAACATTTCTAAATTCGTTCTATTATTGTTACAAGTTACAACTTACAAGTACGGAGGAGATAATAATTAGAGTCTCTTTAATTGTGTTTTGATTTTTTTTTTAAATTATTTGGTAGAATAATTATGATAATAAATATTTTTTGTATTTTGAAAATTAAAGTTGAATGTCAAAACATAATATAAAAATAAATCAGATATATTTTCTAAATTTAATTCTAAAAATAAAAAATATAATTTTTAGATTTTTTTGTAAAATAAGCCTTATCAAACCAATTTTTTTATTTTTATTTTTTTTTCGAAAATCGAAAAACTATTTTAGAAATAGTATTCAGGCCTAGGTTTCTGATACCCGTCTTATGATCATATACTCATGTGGAAGAGTCAATTTCAAGTGCGGCCAAAAGCCTCCCAACTAATCATTAAATAAATTAAATAAAAAAAATGATTACAAAAAAAAAAATTAAAAAAAAAAATTAAGTTCCGTATGCAAATGCACTCTATTTTTTTGTTTTTCTTAATCAGTGATCGGCAATGGTATTCTTCTGATGTTCTCAATATCAGCCAAGCGAAAAAAGAACTTCTTTTGGGCTAAAATCGGTGGAATCACTAATTTGTAATTTCAGTTTTTTTTTTTTTTTTTCCCTTGTAAGATACCAGGATTACTCTTGTTTAGTCCTAAACAAGGGTAAGCCAAGTGCAGGATGCTATGCAATGAACCTGGCAGTGCACAAAAATCTATTGGTTCAAAGCATAATCAACATAGAAATCTTTTTGATTCCACAAGCAATGTCTTGGGTTTCATCATGAACACAACGAAGCCAATAAAACTTGCAGGCAAAAGGGTAGGTCCCGCCTTAAAGGCAGTCCCAAACATTCAAACAAATAAAATCATGTCCATCTTTACAAAACATTTGTGATGGCCAATAAGCAACACAGACCATGCATCCAATCACACCAACACAGTTTTCTCGTCCCACTTTCAGCCTTTTTGAAGACATTACTAAATCATCCCATGCACCCATCAAAAGGTAGGTCGCAAGAGATTGGGAGATCCTCTCATATTAAGATTTCACATAATTTGGTAATATGAAATTTTTGCATCTATATCTTTTTTTGGACTCCACCAATTTAATATATTAAAAAAAAAATAGATACAAAATTTTTAAAGTCATGTGAAATTTTAACATGAGAGGATCCACTCTCAAAAACAAAAACAAAATCCGTTACGAAGAAAGTGACAAGAAGATTTTAAAGATTAATGGAAACAAATAAATAATAATAAGAATGGGAAAAATAAAATAAAAGTAATTATAAGGGTAAAAGAGGAAAACTATGGCCTAACTGGCTGTTTCTGCAGCCTTCGTCCATCTGGTGGGTGATGTGAGCACTTCAACTTGTGTATCTAGCTAGCCCAAAGCTTGAATTTTTATTCTTGTTTCTTCCTCTGTTCCTCCTTTCCTTGCTGGTTGCTCAGGGTGACATATCGAATCAATCCTAAATAATTTTTCGTTCAGTAACAATCAATGCTTTTCTCTTTTGGGTTCTTTCCCCTCTCTCTGGGTGAAACTAGCAAAAAGTAACCAAAGAGGACAACACATAATCTTCACAATAAATTATTAAAACTTCGAAAAGATCAAAACTTTGGATTTCCCTGGTGGAGTCCCTTCCCATCAGGACTATCTTTATCATCAATGAATGTGAGTCTTCTTCTCTTTGTCATAGCAGAAGAAGTAACTAGAGAACTCTCTATCATGTCAATTGGCTTGGATCGGATGAGTGAAGAATTTGGCGTATGTAAAAGCTTGTCTCTTCTAGTTTTCTCCACGTATAATCTTTGAATCAGATTGTAGCACACAAATACATCTCTCTGTGAAGAAAGACCCAAAATTGATCCAAACTAAATAGTTAATATTTTCTCCTATGCATGGTAAGTTAAAAAAATTATAATTACACAACTCACAGGTTCAGGAAACCAATGTTGAGGAATTGAACTCATCTTCAACTCTACAGCTTCCACCGTCAATTGCTGATCCAGCGCCACCAAAGTAGCAGCTGCTGCAATAACAGATGGTTTGTGATCCATCAAATTGACCTCTGCACACAAGAGAATAAATATTAGCTTAATGCATTTGGTAATAGAATCCATTGAGAAACTCACAGATTTGGACAAAGAATTTCGTTTAAAACAAAGAAAGAAAATGTGAGCACATTTCAGTGCTCATAATTCACCTTCCATTGTGGTGAAGATGAGTGGCATGGTCTTGGAAAAAATAGGACTTGATGGGGATTCGTTGCAGAACTTTGTGATGAAATAAGAAAGAAAAGCAAAGGGAGTGATAACACCCATATTCCACTCCAATGTGCTCAGCACCAAAAGCTCCATTTTTTGAATCACTTTGCTCTCAAAGCAATAATCTTCCAATCGAAACCCTGATAGCCCCGGCACATTGCACTCCTCCATCTTTGCAGCCAGAGAAAGGCATGCAACTGATAGTAACCGAATTGCCCAATACTTTTCACTCTGCATAAAATGAAGAATTCAAACAAAAGGGTAAGGAATTAGATTGATGAAGACTCAAAAGTGAAGAACAAACAGACCAATGATGCCAATAGAAGAATGATAGTTGAGTCTTACATCAATGGACCGCCTTGAAAGGAATCGATCGAAGTATGTGACAGACAAATAAGCCGTTTGAAGGCGAAAACCCAATGTTGCTCTTGTCTGGGCTCATTTCACAATCAAAAAATGAAAAAATGAAAAAAGAAGAAGAAAGATAAATAAAGGATTTCCCAATTGCAGTTTCATTAATGAAGGTGAATCAAAAGTACAAGAAAAATGGGTTAGCGGACTAACTTTGAGAATCCAATTGATTGAATCCAAGCGTGCACGTTTCACCCAGTCCCCAAATGCCAAAGTTTCATCCTTTTTGAACCCAAGACTGATCTCTCTCTCAATCAAAACACCCACATGCTCATCCTCTGAAACACCACAATCCTGACGCAATTGAATGAATGAGTATTCTTCATCTCCCACATCTCCTTCCAAGAATGTTTGGTTTTCTTGGCAAAGAAGGCTGGACGAAAGATCATCATCCATATCTTCTGTTTCAAACAATGTTTCCAATTCTCGCTATGAAAAGAGATTTCAGCAGCCAAATCAACAATAATGAAAAAACATAATCTCCGGATTGCGTTATATTATAATGATTATATGATATGATTGACCACCTTACCAACGAGTCTAGAATTAAGGAAGAAAAGAGGGGGGGGCGTTGGAAATTATTATTGAGGCAAGGCTATGATTTAGCTGAAATCTTAAAACTGTTGTAGCGGTTACAGTTTGTAAACACTGATTATCTTGTCTTGGGTACTCCAAAATGTGGCGAGATTTTTGTTCCTACGGTTTCTGTGTGTTTTCATAGACTTTGGGGTGTTGGGTTGGGTAAGTGTTGAGGATGATGAGGTTTTTGATTTGAGTTTGACCAAAAAAGCCTTTGCATTTGGGGAAACAAGTGAGTGTCACTGTCTTACTCACGCGAGCTTTTGTGGCGCGTGGATTGTGATGTCCCGGGTCGGGTCGACCTTTTTTTTTTTTTTGTTGTTGTTGTTGAGCTGAGCAGGGTGTCGTACGTGGGGTCATGTCCCGAACCTAACCGCACCTTAATTCTATGAAGCGGACCGGGCTTTGCATGGTGGAGGGTCCAGAAGAGAAGAAAATCCCGAACCTGATCCCATGACCAGTCAAATATAACCATTTCTCATTTATAATAATAATAAAAAAAAAACTGATAAAAATTGTTTATCCGTTAATACGCTCGATTTTCCATAACCACGAGATAATTAAGTGTGTAAATAGATTGATTGTGCTCGGTTTTGCCTTAAATAAATTAGGTTTGTATAAAATATTTTAGACATGACTTGGTGTGTTAGTCTTATGTAGATCCAAATTGGAAGTCTGGTCTGATCTATATTTAAAATGCATAAGCCTAATATCCAAAAAAAAAAAGCATAAGCCTTAACTTAGACTCGTTAGTCTGTTTAAGTTTATTAGGCATTTAAATATTAAGAATATATTATTCTATTATTTAAAATTATTAAAATAATAATAAAAATTTATGTAAAATAAATAATATGATATATATCGACTTTAAAGGTTTATAGGCCCGATATGTAAAAAAAAATTTATAGATCTATTTTCTAAATAGATTTTTTTTAATTTAAATATATTTTATTTGACTATATATGATAGGTCGAACTTAATCTAATATAAACTAGAAGGTAAATCCCTTTTATATCATTTATGCCATGTGACTAGAGGTGGCAAAATGGGCGGGACGATCAACTCGCCAAAAAATGAGTCAGTCTGTCCCGCCCTTTTGAAAGTGGGTTGAAAAACTAATCTCGTCCTGCCCCGTTTGACGGGTTGGCCCGCCAGCTCGAGCCTATTTTACACTGATCCGCCTCGGCCCGCCTATGTCCGCCGTCAACATGCCAAAAAATGAGCCCGCTCCACTTTTGAGATAGGTTGAAAAACTCAGTCTGTCCCGCCTCATTTGACAGGTTGAGCGAGTTGGTACGCCGAATTAAGCCCATTTTGACAGCTCTACCCGTTTATACCGTGCGAAACTGATTCGTAGCAACAGATTCATACGTGCCTAACACCCTACCCTACTATAGAGGCATGTATTTTATGATTCAACCAAAATTTTGAAAATATTCAATCTACAAAAGATAATGGTCAAACAAATTAAGAGCATAAAGAAAAGAGGGAGGGGGTGTAATTAATTTTAAACTTTTTTTATAGTTAATTTTAAACATTTTATTTTGCTTTGCTTTTTACACTCTGTTTATATTATTAAAGAAATATCTGATAAACCGTCGATCGAATTGAAAATAGCAAATGCCTTCAAAACTTTTCTCAGTTTTTTATTATACAATTATAATAATTTACTTCAAAAAAATTATGTTTTTGTTTACTTGTTATCTTTAATTTATAAAATGTGAATAAACAAACACGTAATGCAATCAATAAATTAGTATATAATATTAGGGTATAGTTCAGTTCACCTTTAACTAAATTTTGTAGTTCAGTTCATCTCAACAAATTTAGAAGGAAATTAATAGTACAGGAGTTAAAAATTTATCCACTAAATATAACATTCTATATAAAAATATTGTTCTACTTATCTTCGTCTGTTATCCCAAAAAAAAATAAAAAAAAAATAAATATTGTTCTACTCACTTGACAGTCCTTTATAGTGAGTATAAGAACCTAGGATCTAATCTAATCTTACATTCATACCTTGCTAAGAAGAGGACAATTTAAGAAGAATCCATTGATTATTCTTTTTATTCTAATCGTGTAAACTTTAATTCTTTTGAAAATATATACAACTTTCCTTTAAGTTGTAACATCATGCATTGAAAATCTCTTCAATTTTTTTTTCAATAAACTTCTCTATCAAAAGAAAAATTTGACTGGTTTTTAAATAAATTCAAAGCAATTTAATTACTCATAAAAAACAGTTGAAGTAATATATACTTACCTTTGATTAATCATAAACTGGCTTCCTCTGTTTTTTTGTCACAAAAATAGAACAATGGTTAGTGGCGGATGCCGTAGATTAATATATTGTAAACCATGCAATTTTATTTGACAAAGATGGAAATTTTGCAACTAATATTTAGCAGCACATTGTATATTTTATGGGTAGCAGCTAACATTTTACAACATAGTCACAAACTTATCAACTCTTTCGTTTTATACTCATTTAAAAAGTGGACTCTAAAGGATAGCTAATTTAAGATACATGGCTGATGGCGCAAGATCCAATTATGCCACTATTTCTGTGGAAATTTAATGATATTGTTGAGATATATAGTCTCATATTGATTGTATGAGTAACTAAATGACTAATGTGGCCTTTATAAGGCTTTGGGCACTTACACTCTTTGAGCTAGCTTTTGAGTAACTATAAGATCACAAGTTCAATCCTCACCGCCTCCCACTTTAAAAGTGGAATTAAAATAAATATATAAAAGCACAAAAAGGTAAACCAAAAATTGAGCATATGCAATTCCACGCTTCTAGCCCATAGGGCTCTTGCGTGAGGGGGCGTGTTTAGTCTCATAGTGGCCTTTATAAGGCCTTGAACACTTTCACCTTTTGAGCTAACTTTGAAGTGGTGTATCCCAAAGTTCGTTACACACATCTTACCGTTTACTAAGAAACGGGATTTGTTTGTTCAGTCTAATAAATAATAATTTTTAATTACTTTTGGAGAAAGCTTAAAAAATAAAATAATTATACCACTATTTCTGTGGAATTTTCTTAAAAGGTTTCTCAAAAAGTTATAAAAAAAATGTAATTATTTCCTCAGATTCTAATATCAGCAAGGATATATATATATATATATATATATATATATATATATATATATATATATATATATATATTAAATATTGACTGGCAAACTTTACCTACACTTTTTAAGAGTTTGAATCTCATAATTAAACACTTGTACCGGTGATGGTACCATCATACGCCTGTGAGAAACATGAGACAAAAAAGCTAGCCGTTAATTATTAAAACAAAAATATTCAGATAAGAAAATCGTATCAGGTAATCGGTTTTCAAAAATCAAGACTGTAAAGAAATAATTAAAGCAAAGACTTGAACGAAGTCTGCGCCATAAAAGTAACCATGCCGAGTCACCAACCGTGGTACTTATTTATCGCGAGTTTTAAATGAGCTTCACGCGGACAGACATTATTTGCCGAATAATTTGAAACCCAGTTTATCACGAACTTTATATGGGAAAATTTTATTTATATTGTAAGAATTTGAAATATATTACAAGTTATCTTTAAAATTAGGGTCAATTCAACCTCTAAAAAGATTGATCACATTTAAAAAATGTGAAAATACTAGTGACCTTACAATTTAATTTTGTATTCACCCTTACACCTATATTTAAGAATGAAATCCATGTCTAAAAATCAACAGAAAAATTACTATACCTCGTTATGTCTCAATTTTTTTTTCTTCAGAAGTTTTAATGATAGGGTCTTCATGTCAGAAGTTCTATATACTTAATTACTATCTCAATATTTTCTATTCAAGTTTTAATGATAGAAAGACTGTCTCAGACATACAAAGTGATATTAAGTGATGCAAGTCTAAAAACCAACAATTGTACGCTTCAGTGTTTAACAATAAGAGTGATACAAATAGATAACTTAGCAGCATGAATTAAACCCCCTCCCGCCTTTTCATATCTTTAGCCTCTTCTACACAAAGCATTTAATGATGACAATGAGAGCAGAATAAAGAACTGAAGTCCATTGACCGGAAGGATAAAAATACTGGTAAGTGCTTAAGTGGTGATTTAAAGAACATATAGAGTTGAATTCAAAAAAAGAAAAGAACATGTAGAGATATACAGTTGAAGACCCATGGTCAAATTAGTAAATGCATTCCAACCTGCTTTTATTTTGCAACTTGGAAAATTCCTCTTTCCTCTCCCATTTAAAGGGGGGGAAAATTAAGTTTTTTTTTGTTGGACACATTGATAGAAATTAAATACATAATCTAATATAACCTACTATAATTTCTCAACACTAGACCAATTCTAGTGACTTAAAAATTAAGTTTGATGAATGTGAAAAAAAAAAAATCATAACTTTTTTCTTTTAATCAATAATATCCCTAATGTTTTAAAACACTCCTACCCCTAAATTAACTTTAAATTAATTACACGGTTAAATTTTATAATATTGCGACTGTTTTATCCTCTAGTTGTTTGTCAATAAGAGTTCAAAATCAATTACTAAAAACTTGAGGAACTACCCCTTTCCCCCCTTTAAAAAAATTAAAATAAAAAATAAAAAAGCAAAATTTATACTAAACTCAATAAACAAAATACATTTACGATTAATCAATGAAAGATATATAAGATGTGATTCTTAGAAAGAGAAATTTTCATTTTGGTACCATTCTATGAAAAAATAAAGTAAAGCCAGAGCTTTATCATGGAATTTTTCCTTTACCTGTCTTCTCACACATGAGAAGCCAAAAAAAGAAGAAGCAAAATCCTA